CGACTGTCATTTTGACAGTACTGAGAACAACATATGTCCCTTCATATTTCAGCTTGTGTTGGATCATTAGGCACAAGTTTGAACAATTCCAGGGAAAACTTATAAACACATTTTGAAACAAAATTTGGATGTAAAACATCAAGACTTAACAGAAACATTTTACAGAATGATTTACTTTACAAAATTATGTGGTCCATACTTGTTTCAAATAACATATTTTCTGCTGGATTTAAGTCAACTTAATTGGCATGTTATCATTTATATAGAAAATTAATGTGTTCATGATTTGTTAGGGACATCAAAAATGTACAAAGGAAGGGCCACATATACTGCAGGAATTTTAAGCTATTCTCTTATCTTTTATTTTACAGCATTCATAATTTTTAAATGTTGCATTAACCTTTTGAGGCAATATTGGTGACTTCTTCATTTGACTAAAACATCCCTGCATATCAACAATTGAACAATTGAAATACTTTAATGAAACTTACTTATATATATGTATATAAAATATGTATTATATGTATGAAAAGTATACATGTTATACCATACATATAGTGTTTATATATATATCCATACATACTCATGCCATCAAAGAACACTTCATTTAGATTAGTATGAAAAATCAAGCAGTACTTAAGTGTCATTTTTATGGAGCTACAACCACAAATCCCCCAGGCTACATGTAGTTAAAACTCTGGAAGAAATTTTATTCTGAGATTGTGCTCCTGCCACATCACTGTCAATATCGAATACTCTGAAGCTTCAAGGGCCAGTGCCCACCGATCCTAGTCCCATTTAAGGAAACACAATGCAATCTAATGCCAGTTCTGAAAGCACGTAAATACATGCTGCAATCCCAAACATTTAAGTGACTATTTATTTTGTCTTGTATCTGCTTGAGAAAATCCTTTGCCAGCCAATTTTCTCCTATTATAATTAACTTTCAAAGTTAGAATGTCATTTGCATGCTTGCAGACAAAGGTAACAATTTCTTTTTTTCTTTTTTTTTTTTTTTTTTGAGACGGAGTCTCGCTTTGTCGCCCAGGCTGGAGTGCAGTGGCGCGATCTCGGCTCACTGCAAGCTCCGCCTCCCGGGTTCACGCCATTCTCCTGCCTCAGCCTCCCGAGTAGCTGGGACTACAGGCGCCCACAACCGCGCCCGGCTAATTTTTTGTATTTTTAGTAGAGACGGGGTTTCACCGTGGTCTCGATCTCCTGACCTTGTGATCCGCCCGCCTGGGCCTCCCAAAGCGCTGGGATTACAGGCGTGAGCCACCGCGCCCGGCAAAGGTAACAATTTCAAATCGTGAAAATGTGTATTCTCAGATGGTGAATATTTGCTTTTTAAAGTACGGAGAGTAGAGATCGAGCTAGTCTTACTAGATTTTTAATTAATGGCCAAGAAAAGCCTCCAAGGGGTAAATTGCCTTTTTGTAATATTACCTTTAATTTCTTTTAACAAATGGGACATGAGGTTTAAGTGGGTTAAAGAAAATCAGGTAAAATATTTATGGTATACAATTTTCCATGGTCATATGCTTAAAAGCAAATATTTTGTGGTTAGTTTACTATGAATGTACCAGGTCTAGCAAGGGAGTCTTTTGCAAGATAGTTGATTTTTAGAACTGCTTACAGGTTGAAACTACAAGCTCCTAATAACATTTAACAATCAGAATTGCTTTGGAGATCAGCCCATGTTGGCTAACGCTGGGTACTCAGGCTCTGCAAAGCTTTTGTAACTATTTTGGAAACCAAGTACCATAAAAACAAGCATTTCATTTTACAAACAATGTGTCTGTGCTGGCATTACAGGAATACCAGGAGAGCATTTTAAAGGTGCAAGGTCAAATACTTGATATTCCATTAAGTAAAATATAAAAGAAAACATTGAACATCATCTAAATATCTTAAAAGGCTAAGTTCTAACCAGTATAAGTCCACAAGGGACAAAAAGTAGCATGATGAAATAGAAAAGAATACTGGACTGAAAATGAGGCCTTGGGAAAATCAAATCCATTCTGAGTCTAGTTTCTCCACTTTTTCAAAGGGGGTAATAATGCTGACTTCACTGACCTCTTTGGATAAAAGCCTGCATGCAGAAATGCTTAAAAATGTAGACAATTTAATACAAATATTAGATAACACCATCATTTCCACTTCTCCTGATAATAATGCAGCAGGTCTGCGAACAAGACCTGTGTACTGTGTTATTCATAACACAACTTGAGAAGAGGTGGTAGTTTTTACACACCTCCTCCCCACCTTTTTTTCTTTATACTTGATGAGCTTTGGAAATACAGTCAGTTACTAAACTTCTCAGACACTTTCAGCAGCATCAGAAGCAGCTGCCACTGGCAAACCTATCTGATTCCGCAGGGACTAAAGATGTAAAAACAATGAGTCATTACAGGTGCGTCTGCATTTCTCATTCAAAGACAAAATGAAAAGAAGATGAAATTCACCAAACCCAGTGTTTTTAAAGCAGAAAATAAAGAGATCAACCAGGAAATACATTCTTCCTTTAATTCATATGAGAGAAATTCACATATAACATAGTAATTTTTTTTTAAATAGTCTGCTACTATGCTGGGTGCTCCTCCAGACTACAAAAAGAGTGCTATCTAACTTCAAGGAATACATTGTTCAAGAATAACAATACGGGGCATAATGGTAGCATACAATTAATTCTAATTCCAGGTAGAACCTCGGTGAGACAAGTAGTAGTAGGAAGGCCACCGGAATTAACAAAAGGAAGGTGGCAGGATCCTTAAAAGGTTTAATGAAAGAGACAGAGTCGACATTTTAGATAGCTTTGAATGATTTCTGGGATCCTGGTAGGAGAAATATCAATGAAGATAGAGACTAGAAAGAGGGATGCGTTCAACATTGAGAAGTATCAGTTGTTTCGAAAATATCCTGCTAGTTTCCCTATCTACCCAAGCGTGCACATGTTTGTGCAAGCGGCTGCAAAGGTGACATGAATAACCTAAATTTATAAAACATCTTTAAAACTGGCAAATAATACAGAATCTCTATGGATTAAAAATGAAACATTTACTATACATGTAATCATGTTTTAGAAATTAAAAATAAATTCAAATATGCAAAACGAAGATCACATATAATCCCACCACCCAGAGCTATTTTGATTTATGTCCTGTCAAGACTATGTCTGTGTACATATATACATTTACAATTTTTTTCTTCTTTTAATTATACTTTAAGTTCTGGGATACATGTGCAGAACATGCAGGTGTGTTACATAGGTATACATGTGCCATGGTGGTTTGCTGCACCCATCAACCCATCATCTATATTAGGTATTTCTCCTAATGGTATCCCTCCCCTAGCACCCCTCACCCTGACAGGTTCTGGTGTATGATGTTTCCTCCCTGTGTCCATGTGTTCTCACTGTTCAACCCTCACTTATGAATGAGAATATGAAGTGTTTGGTTTTCTGTTCCTGTGTTAGTTTGTTTAGAATGATGGTTTTTCAGTTTCATCCATGTCCCTGCAAAGGACATGAACTCATCTTTTTTATGGTTGCATAGTATTCCGTGGTGTATATGTGCCACATTTTCTTTATCCAGTCTATCACTGATGGGCAATTGGGTTGGTTCCAAGTCTTTGCCATTGTGAACAGTGTAGCAATAAATATATGTGTGCATGTGTCTTTCTAGCAGAATTATTTATAAACCTCTGGGTATATACCCAGTAATGGGATTGCTGGGTCAAATGCTATTTCTGGTTCTAGATCCCCGAGGAATTGCCACACTGTCTTCCACAATGTTTGAAATAATTTACTCTCCCACCAACAGTGTAAAAATGTTCCTATTTCTCCACATCCTCTCCAGCATCTTTTGTTTCCTGACTTTTTAATGATCTCCATTCTAACTGGCGTGAGATGGTATCTCATTGTGGTTTTGATTTGCATTTCTCTAATGACCAGTAATGATGAGCTTTTTTTCATATGTTTGTTGGCCACATAAATGGCATCTTTTGAGAAGTGTCTGTTCATATCCTTCACCCACTTTTCTTATAAATTTAAGTACCTTTTAGATTCTGGATATTAGCCCTTTGTCAGATGCATAGATTGCAAAAATTTTCTCCTTTCTACACAGATTGCTTTGTAGTGTGATTTTTTCACTTACTAGTATGTTTGAATAACTTTTCATGACATTAAATATGCAAAATACAATATAAAATTTACAATATAATTTTAATGGTTCCCTGATGTACAATTGTATATGTTGCCCATCAGTTTATTTTATGAGTCTATATATTTCTTATCCAGGTTACCTTTATTTTCCTGTATAAACAATAATGGCGTGCCATCCCTTTAAATTATTGATTATTTAAACTCTGAATATTTATTTAATTCTAGGATTTCAGTTACTGTGCTCTTTTAAACTGTTTTCCAAAGAGTTATACTGATTTTCATTCTTCACTAATGGGTTAGCCTTGGGTACTCATGTTCTTTTCAATGTTGAATATTTAAGTTCTAATTTTTCTTAATACTAATATTTTAAAATATTTTTTATTTGAATATTATTTTGAACATTAAAAATGTGTTTATTAACTATTTTTTTATATGATATGAAATGACTGATCTCCATTAAAATGTCACAAGTCTGTTTTGAGTGTTTTGTTCATCTTTGCTTTTCCTGTAACAATCATCTGGGTATCTTTCTCTTAATTAATTGTAACCTCCTATGCATACTATACTAGGACACATTCTTAGGTTTGGGTGTTCGTGCACATTTAGCACCATAGACTGTAAAGGGTCTGAGATTTTATACTACTTAAAAGGCAACAAGTTAACCTGCTGCAGTTTCATGAATGCTGGCAGAAAATTCCAGAATCCTAGGCCAGAGATGAAGTTCATTACTTGTAGCAAAAACCACAGCCAGAGTATCAGCAATTTTTTTTGTGCTAGTTCTGTAAACCCCATTTTCCTCAAGGAAATGCAAAGACAGCCATTTGGTAACTGCACTTACACTGGGTTGTGTTATAAGAGAACTCTGAGCTCCGAGAACCCAAATATTTTATAATGGGCAGTAAATCTGACTACCCTTTGCTTCAGAGAGGAACACGATGTTTATTATACTGAAGAATATATGCATGGAGGGAAACTTTATATATGTGTTCCAAGGCCATTCAGGATACAAACATCCCTTGAAATTCTGGGGAAAAAAAATAAAAAAGGACGTCAATGTCCTGCCATGCAAACATGCAGAAATACAATTGACCCATAGGAAATTATCTCCAAGTGCTTAGCCCTGAACTTGCAGAAGAGAATAAAATATTTTGTAAAGGAAAGAGAGTGAGTCAAAGGCATTCAGCACTCAAACTTGGTCCCAAACTTAGCCTTACCTGTGAAACCTCATAACAACAGTAACACAGCAGCCAAATAAAAAGGTGATTTCTGGTGAAGCTGATTTCTAAAAATTGGACTTCCTAAAGAGGTTATATAAATAGTGACTTTTGCACTTTATAAAGCAATTCGCTATAGAATCTTTAAATATCAAGTTCTTCTGGTATGATTAGAAAGTAAATTCATCTAAAAATATTTATGCCTTTCTATACAGCATATTAGTTAACAGAGTATGCTCAGGATAAAACTGCCTCAATTCAAATCTGGTTCTGTGTGCTGGTTGAGTTATTTAGCATGCTTCAGTTCCCTCTGCTACAAACTAGGGATACTAATGGCTATTAACTCCATCCTCACAGAGCTAGTAAAAGGTGCTTTCGTCACTGCATGATACATAGGAAACATTTAACAAACGTTAGTCATTACTATTTGTATTACTGTCACCGAAAAATAAGTCATTCAGTTGATATATTTTCTTCTGCTCTTTTCCTCTATGTTTACAATTAACTACAAAATGTTTTCTTTTCTTGAATGACGGGGTAGATGCTAAAAAAACGATTTACCAAAATCTAACTCTAATAATAAATGAGTTAAGGTTTCACTCAAATTATAAGTTATTTCTAAAATGAGGAGAAGGGAAAATATTTTTTAAAAAGGATGACACACTTTGGGAGGCCAAGGAAGGTGGATCACCTGAGGTCAGGAGTTTGAGACCAGCCTGGCCAACATGGTGAAACCCCATCTCTACTAAAAATACAAAAAATTAGCCAGGTGTGGTGGCCCATGCTTGTAGTCCCAGCTACTCGGGAGGCTGAGGCAGGAGAATCGCTTGAACTTGGGAAAAGGAGGTTGCAGTGAGCCGAGACTGCACCCCTGCACCCCAGCCTCGGTGACAGAGTGAGACTCTGTCTCAAAACAAACAAACAAATCGTAAAAGAAAAGGATGATGAATTCCTAAAGCTGGATTGTAGCAACTGTGATAACTTCTTTATTTCTATGCTTTTATATAGTGTACTAACAAAGAACTCAAAAATAAGAAAAAAGAGAAAAGTTCTATAGTATTTAAAGGTCTGTAACATACCATTCACTTAACACAAACAACCTAGGAAGCTAAGGGATAGAGTATTCAAATATCTGTGGAGGGCGGCAGAGGGCCACATGGCATTCCACTCCAGAATGTAATCATTATTTCCAGGTTATGGTTGGTTCTAAAACTAACAGGAATGACTCATCCTTTTCCAGAGATTCTGAAGTAGATGGAAAATGCATACTTGAAGAAAAGGTGGTGAACAAAGAGGGAGAAAGAGTAATAAATGGTGGCTCTATTGCAAAGGCAAAGCTGTTGAACAAAGGTGGGGAAATCAGAGAACTCTGTGCAAACTGACTCATAGCATTTTTTAAAGTTTCATTATGTTTCTGAGACTTGCGCTTTGATAATGTGTAAAGAATCATTTGTTCCCTCCTTACTAGCACCCCATTCTGTTATCATTATTACATCTATTTCACATTTGAGACAGATGAATTTTGGAGAAGTTATATAATTTGGTCAAGATCATGCATGCAGTAAACAATACATTTAGAATTGAATTCTAGTTTAAAAAGTCAGTTTTCCTGTTACTTTCACTGTAGTAAAACAGCATCGGCTGAACTTGAATTCCGGCCAAGTGCTTGTTCTCCTAAAGCCTACATCACAAACTATTGAAATAATTCTTGGCCAACCCAAGCATCAAATAAAGAATAACCTCACCTTCTGGTGCTCAGCCAGCCTGGGGATTCTGTTAAATTGTGGGTGTAGCTGATATTCTCGGTTACCTGGGGATCCTTCTGTTAATTCTGGCACATATTTGGCTTTTCTTAAGCTCTCGGTCTGTGACTTTTTAAACTATTCAGCTGTATCCTGGCTATGTCCATGTCCTCAGAGAATAAAACAAAATCATAGATCAGGCTGCTCTTTTTATTTTGTCCTGGACACTCTCATTCCCCAGATAAATCACAGGCGCAGCCATAAATCTATGGGAAAAAGAACAGTACAAATTCCATTGGAAAGGCATTCTCTATCTTTTCCACATTGTATCCACTATTCACACTGAATTGCTACTGAGAACATTTTTCCCTCTAGTACTCTAGTTACATAAAACACTTGGTAATACGCATACTAGTTTATTGTTCTTCACAGGCAAACATGGTGCTACTTTTTCAAGATTGGGAGTAACTCATTCTGAACCACTGGTCCCCCAAAGGCATATCCATATCCCTTAACTTGGCTTTGACAGGAATTATAGGAGTAATGTAACTATTATTTGGTAAGAAAGCTGATAGTAAACCGGGTCTTCTCCTTATTTCTAATCCTGCACCTATCTTTTGCCTGACCTCATATTTAAAGAATACCTTCCACTTTTCTCAAAGCTACAAGTAACAAATATTCAAAGCTTCATAGAGTCAGGTCCAGCAATCTTCTGCTGAAGTCTAAAATCTTGCAAACTTCTGGAAAATGGCATCCAGGTAACATTGTGGTTTTGTTAGTTAAAAGTATATCTGAGTATATGTGTGACTGTGTATGGGGGGTATGTACATGTGAGAGAGACTGATTGAAAGTTTCTTCAATAAATAAATTACTTTGAGTAATATCAGGAATTGTGCTAGGCACTAGGGTTACAAAATACATCAGAAATGAATTGAGTCCTTTAGGAACTTTGTTTGTTACACTTTAATCAAAGGGTCAGATGGAGAAAAAAATGCTTTTACTACACCATCCTGAGTACTAGGCTATAAATGTGCACAGGGTCCTGTGGGAGCAGAGAGAAGGGTGATTTGGTTTCCAGAGACAAGTTGTCTTGAAGGAGATGGCAGTAGAAGCAATGGATGCATAGGAGTGACCCTAGAAAGAAGAATGTGGAGGATATTGCAGGTAGAGGAAAAGAAAGCATGAGAAAACATGGTGAGTACGAAAAAGCATGAATATTCATTATTATTAATTAAAGCTTGGGAAGGGAGCGGTAGAGTTAAGACTTGACAGATATTATGATGAAGACATTATGTAAGACCATATGGACATAATCTGAAGCTTAAAATTTAACCTGTAGGTAATGAGGAATCATCAAAAAGCTTTATGGCTAAGTGTGGCAAAACAGTTTGCCATTGAGGCAAGCTAGTCAAGGATGAAATGGGGTTAAGATCCTAGGCAGGGAACAAATTAGGGAGCTAACGAAAGAGACAGTTTCCAGAAGATACGATAAGGACCTGGACAAGGGTGATGGTAATAATGAGGACAGAAAGATCCATAGTGGGGGCACTGTGTACACAATGAGATCCTCTCTCCAGGGGCAGCTGAAAGGGATATACACAAGAGGGTTATAGATACGAATTGGAATAAACCGTATCCTCCCCAAAATTCACTTATTGAAGCCCTAACTCCCAATGTCACTGTATTTGGAGACTGGGACTTTAAAGTTGTAATTAAAGTTAAATAAGGTTATGATGATGACACCCTAATCCCACAGAATGTGCCTTTCCAAGAAGAGGAAGAGACACTGGAGCTTTCTGTGAAGACACACAGAGAAAAGACCATGTGAGGACACAGTGAGAAGGTGGACATCTGTAAGCCAGGAAAAGAGGCCTCACCAGAAACTGACAGTGCTGGCACCTCGACTACGGATTCCAGCCTCTAGAACTCTGATAAAATACACTTTTTTTTTTTTTTTTTGAGTCTCGCTCTCTCGCCCAGGCTGGAGTACAGTGGCACAATCTCAGCTCACTGCAAGCTCCGCCTCCCAAGTTCACGCCATTCTCCCGCCTCAGCCTCCTGAGTAGCTTGGACTACAGGCACCCACCCACCACGCCCAGCTAACTTTTTCTACTTTTAGTAGAGACAGGGTTTCACCCTGTTAGCCAGGATGGTCTCGATCCCCTGACCTTGTGGTCCACCCACCTCGGCCTCTCAAAGTGCAGGGATTACAGGCTTGAGCCACTGCGCCCAGCCCCCCGACTTTTGTTTTTTAAGCCACTCAGTCGGTGACACTTTGTTATGGCAGACCTGGCTGACTAATACAGAGGGTTTTGTTGATAGAAGTAAATCTTAAGAAACATATAAAGGGAAACACAAGCACTGAGAGAAAGTCCTGAAGCAGCAGAAAGCCAGGAGTAGAGAGCTTCTGCTTGGTAGCTTTGTAGGATGAAGCACAAGTCATGTCGGTGCCCTGTAAAAGGGAGTTCTAAAGCATCGAATGATGCATTTCTAGAGTTGCGATGGGATCAGCCAAACTGTTGTCCAACTACTATTATATCCTGAATCTATTTTCATTCTTGAAGTCTGTGTGGTAGCCAAGCCTGTTTCTTGTTTGCCTTGCTTGCCAGTGTGGTGTAACAGCCACGCCCCCACCCTCCTCTGGCATCAACTGGAATAGGCCTTTTCACTTGCGCTCTAAAACTGCCAAACATGGAGAGTGGGAGGAAGAGATGTCAGGATGAGCAGAATGCAAATAATGACTGAAGACTCCAGAAATCTTCAGTTTAGATGTTAACTATCCAAGATTTTATTAAAAAATATGAACTGTAATACATACATAAAATATAAATATTTTAGCCATCCACATTATAATACCAGAAAACCTCTTGTGCACATAATGAGGGCCATCTATGTAACACAGGAAGTGTGGCATGATGCTGTCTCTAAATGAAGAGGGGCTCTTTTTAAAAAGACACCACAAAATCTGTTTTTATTCCTCTTTTTAGCAAATTGGCTTAGTTTAAATGCCAGTCTATAAAAGGCTTCATCCACACTCTCAGTACCTACCAGTTGTGAAGAAAAGAACGAAGGAAACCTCTGAGTGCACTTTTTTTCTCAGCACGTGCCAACATGGGGCTTGGGTTTTTGGACAGAATTTCATAAATCAAACAAAGAATAATGATTCTTCCTTTATCTCTATGCCATTATAGCGCCATCAAGTGGAAGACAAGATTATAGGATTTAGACAGTTCCTGCAGAGGAATTGGTAAGTAGATTTTTCTTCTGCCTGCTTAAGGATAGTTTCAATTTTGATCTGAGACACATCTGTGTGTGTGTACTTCTGTGTGTGTCTGTGTGTCTGTGTGTGAGACAGAAACAGTGTGGCAGTTCCTCCCTTTTGTTTTCTACATTAATGCATTCCACCTGTGCTTTTAACATCCGGATGCTATCATATTTTAATTATACTGATTAATGCCTGCATAAGAATTACAAATGGTAAACCAACCTTCCCTCAAATTAGCTTAGTCAATCTGTGTAAAGGCAGAACAGTGAAATAGGACACCAGTCTAATATCATATAAAAAATGGAAATGTCCTCATTTGTTTCTATGTTCTCTTAATTAAAGGTGACAGAACTATTGGGGCAGCAAATGCAATATGCAAAGACCAGTGCATTTACAGCTGTAAGTTGCATTGCTGTTTTAGCATTACTCTCACTGCTGGGAAAACATCTGTGGAAAAGAAGAAGATAGGGAGTTCTCATGATAAAACTGGAAAGAGATGTCAAAAGAAATATTGCCATCTCCATCTTCGGAGAGCTTTGTGAAGAGGATCATCGTGTGCTCTAGTTACTCTGATCACAGATTCCAACTCTACTCTGAAATATCTTACAGCATCTTTAAATATCTCTCTTATGGGTCTCTGGCGAAACAAAACAAAACAAGAAAACAGGCCGGGTGCTGTGGCTCACGCCTGAAATCCCAACACTTTGGGAGGCCAAGGCGACTGGATCACCTGATGTCAGGAGTTCAAGACCAACCCGGTCTACATGGTGAAACTCCATGTCTACTAAAAATACAAAAAATTAGCCAGGCATGTTGGCGGGCACCTGTAATCCCAGCTACTCGAGAGGCTGGGACAGGAGACTCGCTTGAACCCAGGAGGCAGAGGATGCAGTGAGTCGAGATCACACCATTGAAGCCTGGGCAACAAGAGCGAAACTCCATCTAAAGAAAACAAACAAACAAAAAAAACAAACAAAACAATGACGATACCAAAAAACACAAAACAAAACAAAAAAAAAACCCCAAGAAAACAGAAACTCCTCTAACCTAATTTACCAAGTAATTTAAGGTAAAATAATTTTCTCCTTGGCCACTTTCTGAAGAAAATAAATGAAACATGTATTTAAAAAAAAAAGGGGGGGGGCTTTATAACAACCCTGAAAAGACCAGGAACCATGAGTTAGTTGTTTTTCCTGAGTAAGGACATTGTAGAGCAGAGAGGTGAGGACTGCCTTTGGCACTGGTGATCTGCCCTGAGGCTTCTTCAGTCCATGATTGCCAATTCTTTCATCTAAAAATGGAGATCTCACCACTTCTTGCATGTCATAAGGATTAAATGGCATAATATAAATGAAAGCATCTTGAAAATTTTTGTATATTGACCTACTGTGAGTCTGCAGAGATAAAGATTCCAAAATATTTTTGTGTTCCAAAATATGAGAAGGTAAATATGGCTTTACAATTCCCGTTTTTTATCTTGTCTGCCTTATTACCTTCTCCATTCTTTTTTTTTTTTTGTTTTGTTTTGTTTTGAGACGGAGTCTCACTCTGTCGCCCAGGCTGGAGTGTAGTGGTGCGATCTCAGCTCACTGTAATCTCCGCCTCCTGGGTTCATGCCCTTCTCCTGCCTCAACCTCCCGAGGAGCTGGAACTACAGGCGCCCACCACCACTCCCAGCTATTGTTTTTTTTGTATTTTTAGGAAAGACAGGGTTTCATCATGTTAGCCAAGATAGCCTCGATCTCCTGACCTCGTGATCCACCTCCTTGGCCTCCCAAAGTGCTGGGATAACAGGCGTGAGTCACCCTGCATGGCCTCCTCACTCTTTTTAAGCACTTTACCAAGAGCTTTCTGTTGAGACTGCATCAATGTCATGTAACAATTCCACACAAAACTTGTTTCCATGAGTCTGATGCTTCTGGACAAGGAAAAAGTCATCAGTTTTGAGTGATAACTTTTGCAACATCATAGACTCTTGTTTCTAAGGTATCTACTAGTGGCAAAATGTGTGTGTGTGTGTGTGTGTGTGTGTGTGTGAGAGAGAGAGAGAGAGAGACAAAGAAAGAGTGAGAGAGAAAGAAACCCTTTCAAGAAGACCTCCTTAAATCAGGGATAAAGTTATTTTTGAGAATAAGATAAAAACCTAAACATATCACTGATGGCAAGCTTAATTGCAATGCATGGCTGTCAACTGTGTGCATAATATGCACCAGAACTAAACCTTAGAAAACAAAAATGAATAAAGCATAGTCCCTACCTATAAAGAGATAACAAAGTTGAAGGGTAAAATGGATAATTAAACACAGTAATTATCACATAAGCACTATAAGGGTAACCAAGGCATTGAGTGGTCATGGATGGTTTCTCTATAAAGGTGCTACCTCGTGTAACTCCTTGATGGATGACAAGGAGATGGAAAGACATGAGGAGTGGGACAGTAAGAATGCAAGGAGCAGGAAATGGATTGGGGGAGAAAAGGAAGACCAGAAAAAGGGATGGCTAATGTAAAGCCCGTGGGTCCAAACAAACCAAAACAAAGGCATATTAAGGAATTTAATATATTCCAGAATGGCCAAGGATTTTAAGTGTAATTTTACATTGTGTATACACGTTCACATTTTTCTATATGCATATAGACAGCTACATCCTTGTATACCTACTGCTTGGACCCCAAACCTAATTCATGGCTGCCAGCCACTCCACATATAGGAAACAAGAAAAGGGCAAATATAACATGCCTACAATGCCCAAAAGGCTTCCTTCTGTTAAATGCAACCATGAAATGATACGGCTTAACATAAACTCACTGAAGCCTCATCTTCCAAGCATAATGCAAAGATTCCAGCTCTATTCAATCTCAGCTACAGGGCAATCACAACTGTAACTAACTCCTACGTCTTTCATCTTTTGACAATGAAATTAAAATATTGCTTCATGCTATGGTAGGAAAGAACACTCTAAAATAAATAATCCGAAGTTGAAATAAAACTGAAAATAACAGCAGAGTCTTTCTGAGACAGTGGGCGGCAATGTTAATGAATGGAAGCGTTGCATACAAATTGAACAAACACGCATTGATTTTGAAGGTATATGGAAAGATGACTCACATAAGCTATGGATATCAGAAATTTAAGAATCTAAGCCAAAATGAGACAATTTAGACAAGGGGCATAATTATTTTTTTTTTAAGGTGGGGGATACACAGGGAAAGTAAAGATGAAAGTTAGCATTCACCTGAGATACACAATTACAGAAAAGTCATGGAAATCAAACATGCAAGATGTTTAACACATAGAGTGAGATGAAGAAGGATCATTTTTAAACCTTACATTCTCCCTGCTCCTAGTTTGGATAAACAGGAATCCCTCAAGTCCTAGGTTTTCAAAATTATGTCTCTTAAAGAATTAGTAGCTTTGCAAACAAAAGCAGGATTGACTCTTTTAATCTCAGTTATCTCTGTCAGTGCTCCTGGTGGTGGTGACATGCTGGCCTCTCATATTTCTGTAAGCCTGGCCCTTTGGATTTTCCCACAGTATCAGTCTAAAAGGCCAAGGAGTTGTAAACCTACTTGTAACCGTCCTTATCCCTTCCCACCCCACCTCCCCCTACACACACACATGCACACACACACACACACAAACAGGGTCTACCCCTCCCATAGCTTCTGAATTATGAAATGTGCCCCATTCAGTTCTTGCAACTCTTCCGATTTATCCACTCTGTTCATCCTCTCTGGGGAATCCAATCTTGACTCAAAGACACCAAGTAATCTTTAAAATCAGAAACTGCTTTAATAACTCATTAGAGATAGATGACTATCTCTTACATCACTTGAGTCTTTCCTTTCCTCAGGCATTTCCTCTCTAGATTTTGGGTCACCAAAACAACCCAACTGCCATCCACTCACTCCTTTCTACATTAAAAAAAAAGAAAAAAAAAAAAACCCAAAAATAAAACCAGCCAGGTGTGGTGGCAGGTGCCTGTAACTCCCCAGCTACTCAGGAGGCTGAGGCAGGAGAATCACTTGAACCCGGGAGACAGAGGTTGCAGAGATAATATTTCCACAGATTACTATATTATTCTCTAAGAAAATGCACCTGCTTGTCCTTTGGGAGCAAAACCATAGTGTAAAATGCAGGTTGAGTATTCCTTATCTGAAATGCTTGGGAGAAGAAGTGTTTCAAATTTTTGATTTTTTTTTTGATTTCAGAATATTTGACTATACATAAGGTTTGCATAGGGAACCCAGGCAGGAGCAGAAAAGATATATCCCAGTTAAGGATGAATGGGAGGGTTTTCCTCCCCTTAAGAATGCTGAATAAACTGTGTATTGTGTGCCTGTATTTTGACTGCAGTTCATCACATTAGGTCAGGTGTGGGATTTTCCAACTTTGGCATCAAGTGGGCGCTCAAATCTTTGGATTCTGGAGCACTTCAGATTTCAGATTTTCAGATTAGGAATGCTCAACCTGTGCTAGCAACTGATTTTTAACATTTCCTTGGTTGGTAATTTTTATGGGAAGAAGAAAATCTCAACAGATGAAATAAACAGTAACTAAAACTGGATTTATGCTATTATTTTTTTCAGCAATAAGTAAATGAAATAATTTTCTTTTTAAAACTGTCAAAAGTAAGACATTTAAAACTAAGAGTGAAATCTTTGGAGAGTTAGACTTTATAGCTCCATGTGAATGCAAATGCTTTACTAACAGTGGAATTGGAAATTGGATAAGTTCCCTTGAGATAGAAATAGTCAAAATGCCAAAGGAGATTCCAAACTACTTGCTACAAAACAAAACAAAACAAAACAAAAAAACAGTCTTAGCTTTGCCTATAAGTCGATCTCTAGTTCTTCTCCATGCAGGAGATATGTTGTATGTGGTCTTCCATCCCAAGGAGAATAATGGTTAGGTTTCTCAACTCTCATAACAGAATGTCAACATCACCATCTGCTCATCTGGCTTTCAAAGGACGCATATGGGCTCATCTTCTTGGCCCAGATTCTCCTCTTGCTTTGGGGCTTTTCCCTTCAGTTTGGTCTTTAGTATGTACTCCTAAATTTGCCAAATGCACATTGGAGGCCACAGAAGACTTTGCTGAAGAATAGCCCAGTAATGGATTGAATTCTTATTTATTCAGAGGTTTCCCTGAAAAAATTCCTCTGCAGCGTATTCAAATCGTATAGCCCAAATTATACTCCCTGACTGTGGTAATTTAAATGTCATTTTAAAATTAAGGCCTTTGTTAATAAATACTGTTTGCTTAAAGGTTAAAAGATAGAATTACACCCTTCACACCAAATTGCAATCTCCATGGGTCCTTATCTGCTCTTATTAATTCAAACAGAAGGTTCTGGGTGTCATCTGTCACTTAGAGCCTGAAGTAAACCTCTAAAAGCATACATTTTTGTTGTTGTTTCCATTCTACATGGGCTTAAAGTATGCTTTAGAAACATACATCACAACTGAGATGTGGGTGGGCATTATGAATAGTTAAGCAGCAGTGTAGAAAGCAATATGGACAGAAGAAACAAAATAATTTCTTAACATATAAATAAATTCAAAACCTATTTGAAATGCAGCATATTGGAAGAACATTAGTCAGGGTCTCTATAACTAATTAGCTTTGCGACTTTGGGTAAGACATAATCTCTCTGGATATTTATGTAAAGCTAGAATTTTGTGTGAGAAAACTAAAGTTTAGAAGGACAGAAAGTAATTACAAAGTAAAGACA